GTAGTAGTAGTAGTAGTAGTAGTAGTAGTAGTAGTAGTAGTAGTAGTAGTAGTAGTAGTAGTAGTAATAGTAGTAGTAGTAGTAGTAGTAGTAGTAGTAGTAGTAGTAGTAGTAGTGGTAGTAGTAGTAGTAGTAGTAGTAGTAGTAGTAGTAGTAGTAGTAGTAGTAGAGTAGTAGTCGTAGTCGTGATAGTAGCTTCCAGTTACCGCCCCACCCCCTGCGGGGCCAGGGAGCGTGCGACAGCTGCGCCGAAATGAGCGGTGTAGCCCAGATGCGTCTGCGCTGGCCGAGGCCGCAAGCGAAGCTCCCTAGGGGGGCACGAAGCGGGTGAGGGGGATGCCGACATGGACACGCGGAGGACAGGAGCACAGGAATGATACATAGGAGGGGAAGGGGGCGGCGGGGGTGGGAAGGACACGCTGGACCCAAAACGGGACCCAACACCACAGGATGGTGCGGAACAACACGCAAGGCAAAACACACACATACATATGTTTATATATATATATATAAACATAAACATAAGTAACTATGTGTGTGTGTGCTCCCTGCGTCGGCTAGGCAAGGCATCCATGACTCATGTGGAGGACCAGCGTTCCCAACCAGAATGGGCCGAGCGCTGGAAGTACATCTGGCCATGCCGCCCAGCCTTGTCGACTACACGCAAGAGCGACCCTGCGTAAGCGTGACCTTCGGTGCGCGGCTTTCTTGGGGAGCGCGAGGGGGCCAAAACCAGGCGCGCAGGCCGACGCTGTCGCACCGCACTCGGTGATCGGGGGGGCCCAGTGGGCCCGCGCCGAGGGTCACTCCGGCGAAGGGCCACTCTTGCGTGGGCTCGACCTCCACTCCCCCCCGGAGACGGCCTCTCTTGGAGGACGCAAGCCGCCGGCGTCCGCCTGCCTTCCGCTGGCGGAGCGCCGCGCTCGCTCTGCCTCCGCCGGCGTCCGCCGACACAGGAGAAGGCAACCCCTCGGACCCCTCGCAGGCGAAATCCTGTCTGGAACGCCTCGATGCGTGTCAAACTCCCCCTGGTGTCAATTCCTGCGTGCTCGGCGCCCGAGGTGGGCACGGACATACAAGTGTACGGCGATCAACCGCGAACGTTGTCCAAAAGCGACAGCGGCCGCTGTTGGGCAGGCCATAGGGAAACAGACAATGACATAAACAGAAAAACTCGGATGCCCGCGCGGATCCGAGAAGCCAGTGGAAGGGGGGCCCAGCGCCGATCCGAGAAATCCGCGCGGCGACACCGACGGCGAGTCCCGTTCAAAATGGCCAGGAGCTGCCGTCGGCCGTCTCGGAGGAGGGCCAGTCGAGACCACGGCGGTTCTCCCGCCCGGCCCACATCCGCTCAAAATCCGCCCCTGGAGGCCTCCCCGGGCCCATCCCAACCCGACTTTCGAAGCGGGTCCAACCGCTGAGCATCCTTTAACCGCTCCCTGTCCCCACGGGCGTGGCCTGGGCCCCACTGGCCGGTTCACCCCCCCAGATGGGGATGCAGGCTGCTCCCCTCAAGCTTCGGGGGGCATATCCCCAACTGGGGTGGTGGTGGGGATCTGGACGGGGATGGAGCAGGGGATACGGATCGGTTCCACGATGCCGAGCCGTGGCGAGGCGAAGCCCCGCCGGAGAGGCCCCCCAAAAAGGACACCACCGCTCGGGGAGGGCCGCCCGGTGCCTCGACCGGCCCGCCTCCGGCCGTCGCCCCCGCCCCCCGTGCCCCTCTCGGTCGCCCCGATCCGTGGAGCCTGGGCATGGATGGGCGAACCCAGGGCCCCTCGAGCAATGAAAGATTCATGGCGGGATCCCGCCATGAGTTTTGTGTTGCACAAAAAACAAGACACCTTACAGGAAAACAAGACATCCTACAGAAAAACAAGACATGCACAAGAAAAACAAGACATTACCCAAAAAACAAGGCCAGCGAAAAACACAAGACATACAGGTGGTTTCATAAATCACAAGACCATAAGATGTCAGGGGAGGCTTGTCCATATTTTTGGCCTCGGGAAGGCCTTACCGGGCCTCGGGGCCGTCAAAAGACGACCCAGGATGAGAAACCGGTCCCAGAGAATGGGTCCAGACCTCTGCGGGTCGACGTTGTGGAAACATCATGACGTCGGGGGTCTGGGAACACAGGGATCGACCTAAGCAGTGTCCTTCGTTCTCGTGTTGTTGTCGTTTTCCCTAGTACTGTCTTCCATCCGCCTCGGCTGCAAAACGAGATCAGAACGAAAACGGCCCACGACATCGCCAAAGCACCGTTCATGTCGAGCCCTGGGCAAAAACTTTTTCCGTCGGCAGCGAGGCGGGAGAATCCGCTCCAGAGTGGCAGCGACGCAGGGGCACTACAAAGCCAGCTGGCACCATGGGCAAAAACACCCGACTGCGTGCTTTTCGTCACGACGCGAGGGTCGGGCGCCAACCTGGGCCTACAACGGCCGCTCGAGGGGATCCGGGCAGCTCCGGAACGCCCTCGACTAGGCGCAGCTGCCGGAGAGCATTCCCAGGCTGGACAGCCGCCGAGAACCGCCGGGAGCCGACCATAGGCCTCCTTCTGAGAAGCCTTCCCCCCCCTCCTCCTGCCCCCCCTGTGCGCGCCGCCAAGCATGGCGGACACACCTTCGACGAGGCGCAGCTGCTGCAGGGCACGCCGACGGGGAGAAGCCTCGACCTCCGCGACGCAGCAGAAACCTCTCGCGCATCACCTCCCTCGCGGCCTCAGAGCTCCCGACTGGCCCAGGGGCCCGTCCCCCCCTGGGGCAAGTTTTTTCCTGTCGGGCCTGTTGCTGATGACCAGAGGGGGTGCCCGCAAAGGCCCCACAGGACCGAAACAGAGGATACACCGCGCGGCCTGAACAAGTCCCCTTGCCAGAAATGAGGAGCGAGAAATGAGGAGTGAGGAGGAGGCGGAGCAGGAGGAGGAGGAAGAGGAAGAGGAGGAGGAGGAGGAAGAGGAGGAGTGGTGCGGAGTAAAGAGTGACTGAGGAGTGAGAAATGAGGAGTAATGAGTGAGGAGGAGGAGAAGAAAGATCACGAGGAGGAGGAGGAGGAGGAAGAGGAGGAGGAGGAGGAGGAGGAGGAGGAGCATGAGAGGAGAGGAGGAGGAGGAGGAGGAGGAGAGGAGGAGAGAAGAGGACACGAGGAGGAGGAGAGGAGAGGAGTAGAGGAAGAGGAACGAGGAGGAGGAGGAGGAGAGGAGGAGGAGGGGAAGGAGGAGGAGGAGGATGAGGAGAGGAGGAGGAGGCGCACAAGGACGAGGAGGAGAAGGAGGAGGAGAACCAGGAGGAGGAGGAGGAGGAGGAAGGAGAAGGAGGAGGAAGGAGGAGGAGGAGGAGGAGGAGCGAGGAGGAGGAGGAGGAGGGGGAAGAGGAGCACAAGGACGAGGAGGAGGAGGAGGAGCAGCAGCAGCAGCAGGAGGAAGAGAAGGAGGAGAAGGAGGAGGACCAGTGCAAATCCAAGAGTCACCAACGATGTTGGAACAAACCCTCACTCCAAGCTCCCTCCTCATAGGCCCCTTACAAGGGTTAATTTCCACTGAGGGAACTGCCTCGTTGGAAGACAGCCGCTTGAAGACCCTGAAGCGTGCCAAAACAGAACTCTCGGGACTCGAACGCCACGAATCAACCGAACAATTACATCTTGACGATGCGAGGGCACACTTCCTGGGACTTCAGCACCGCGAATCAACGAAACTGTTGCGCCATTACAATTCTGAGTCCTTCCCAAACACTATTTCTGGTCGTTGGCCATGGGAATCCGTGACACTTTTGCGTATGTTTAAAACGAATGTGCGCGGCGCTAAGGCGAGAACCACACTTTGAAAAGGACCCGCCCTCGATCCGTGAAGTTCTTGCTTTTGTTTAAGACGAATGTGCGCGGAGCTAAGGCGAGAACCACACTTTGAAAAGGACCCGCCCTCGATCCGTGACGTTCTTGCTTTTGTTTGAGACGAATGTGCGCGGAGCTAAGGCGAGAACCACATTTTGAAAAGGATCCGCCCTCGATCCGTGAAGCTCTTGCAATTACTTTAGGCGAATGTGATGAGACGGATGTGCGCGGCGCTAAGGCGAGAGCCAGATTTTGAAAATGGCCCGCCCTCAATCCGTGAAGCTCTTTCAACTGTTTAAGGCAAATGCGCGCAGCGCTAAAGCGAGAACCACATGTTTAAACCAACCGCCCTTCATCCGCGGAACTCGTGCGAATTGGTAAAACGAATGCGCGCGGCGCTAAAACGAGAGTAACATTTTGAAAACCACCCGCCCTCCATAATTATGTGAAACTGTTGCCAACGTCTAAGCTTCAAGGTCCTGAATGGTGAAGATGTCTCAAGCGAAACGCCCGGCCAACCCTTTTCGACCGGCCTCGGAGTGCGACACGGAGGTGTCATTCATAAGGAAAAGCACTGGTGGAGGAGGAGAAGGAGAAGGAGGAGGAGGAGGAGGAGGAGGAGGAGGAGGAGGAGGAGGAGGAGGAGGAGGGGGAGGAGGGGGAAGAAGAGGAGGGAGCGAGGAGGAGGAGGAGCGAAGATGAGGAGGCCGCACCACTTCACGCGCCCCTGCGGGCGCGCTTGGGCCGCGGGCTCCGCGGTCGCCGGCGCCGCGGCGGTGGCGGGCGCCTCGTCGGCGGCGCCGCCCAGCTCGTGGCCACCGGCCCGGGGCTGCTTCGCGCCGCTGGCGCCCTCGTCCTCCGACGGCAGCGGCACGGCCCTGCCCAGACAGCTTGTCTCGAAAAGAAGTCACTGCCCAGGGAGGACGAGCAGGACGAGGAGGCGAGGAGGACGAGCAGGACAAGGGGGGCGAGGAGCACGGAAAAACGAGATCCAGGAGGACGAGGAGGACGAGGACGAGGAGAACGGCGAGGACGAGGAGGACGAGATCTAGGAGGACGAGGAGACGAGAACGATGGACCACATCTGTCCATGCGTTACCCAGCGGCGGGCCAGGTGGGCAACGCTTGCACGGAAGATGTTGAGGGTCCTGCCCGCCTCGCCAAGCATCTGGCTTCGGCCACAGCGTGGCTCCAAGGTCTCCTCGATCGTGCCGCCAGGCCAGGTTGGAGGAGACTGAAGCCTCCAGGGCGGAGGCTAAGCTGTCTCAGAAGGCCAACAGGGCCAAGGGTATGCCTGACAGTTTCGCCAAGAGGGCCCCCGTTCGTGCTGTTGGGCCTCCCGTGGCGGCCGAACGGATGGGTGATGCCCCGCCCCCCTTTGTGTTTCCCCCTGTGGCCGTTGATCCCGCTCCTCCCTGGTCTCCCCCGCCCTTGTCTTTGGTCCCTCCTCCACCCACCGAGCACAGTCTTGCCCTGATCCTGGCCCAGGAAGTTGGCAATGTTTTGGCGGCGTGGTGCAGGCTTGGGCCAAGTCGGGCAGGGACAGTGGCCTGCCCGTGATCCGTGCTGCCTGGGGAGTTGATTCGTGGGAGGTGGAGGCCAAATTCTGAACCTCGGCCACCAAGGGGGCGAAGGTTGCTTCGATCATGTGTGCCCCCCCTTCTCTCCACACCATGTGGCCTCACTGTCTTACGGGTTCCAGAGCGCACTGTCGTTGTCCTACGCAGCCTTGGGGTCAGTGCACCTTGGGGGGAAACATGTGGTCCCGGGCCCAGCGTGACAACGACCCTTTTGGGGGCAATTGCCTCGCCATTCATGTGGCTTGGACTTGTGGGGTTCCTGTTTTGTGGCTTCACCGGCCCCCCAGTCTTGAAGGCCATGTCTCTGGTTGGAATCTCCCCACTCTCCTCCCTGTGGAGCAGCAGTCCTGCATCTCCTCTTTCCTCTCTCCTCCCTCCTCCTCCCTCCTCCTCCTTCTCCATCCCTCCTCCCTGCTCCTCCCTCCTCCTCCCTGCTTCCTGGGTCTTGTGAGGCAGGCTCTGTGAGGCTCAGGCTCTTGGCCGCACGCTTGCCCGACTTTGAGAGCAAGCTCTCAATGGAGTTGGATGCCGACACTGGGAGGGGGGAGAGGAGGAGGGAGGAGCGAGGAGGTGGAGAAGGAGGAGGAGGAGGAGGAGGAAGAGACGGAGGAGGAGGAGGAAGAGGATGAGGATGAGGATGAGGAGGAGGAGGAGGAGGAGGAGTAGGAGGAGGATGAGGAGGAGGAGGAGGAGAGAGAGGGGAGACAGTGAGTGTCAACTTTCCTTGGTTCCCCACACCGCTTGGCTTGCTATTGCCTCTTGTATTTCGGCGTATTCGTCGCCCTCAGGTTTGCGCAACGACAGTGGCTGGTGTGATTGCGCTCCGACTTTGTGACGCACCTGTCATCGCGTTGCCGCTAGCGACCGTTGTCCTAGCCTGGCCAGCTCCCCGCAGGGAGAGGCGGAGTGTGCGGTGCTTCCCATGTAATTCTCTCGCAGGACTGCCCCACCCTTTTCCTCGCCACCATCTTGTTTGGGCTTCAAACTTTCTGCCCTTCGGTTCCGACCGACCGACCGACCGACCGAGGAGGAGGAGGAGGAGGAGGAGGAGGAGGAGGAGGAGGAGTGCACACACACACACACACACACACACACACTCACCGGCTCTGGCCAGGCCCACCCTGAAGCCCAGGAGCCGTGCACACTGTCGGACCCAGCACGAGGAACTTCCGGGGCACTCTCCCCGAACCTACTTCGATCGCATGCCCGGGTGCGGCTGTACGCCACCCCTTGCCACCGCTCGGACGCCCGTTCCCCGCGCAGTCTTCGGTCTCGTGCGTGCCTTTTTTATCGCAGGACGACCCGTGAGGTTCCTCGAGCGCCCTCGCCGAGAGAGAATGTGCACACGCCCGAGCGACGCCAAGCAAGCCTGCCCTGGGCCGGGAGGGCAGGGGCACCGATCCCGGGCACCGGAAGGGGCCTGGCCAAGACGGGTGCACGTGCGCAGCCCTCTTCGACAGCATGCGGGAGCGACTCCGGGTACGGCAGGCTCGTGTCCGACGACGAGGACGACGAGGACGACGAGGACGAGGACGAGGACGAGGACGAGGACGAGGACGAGGACGAGGACGAGGACGAGGACGAGGACGAGGACGAGGACGAGGACGAGGACGACGACGACGACGACGACGACGACGACGACGACGACGACGACGACGACGACGACGACGACGACGACGACGACGACGACGACGACGACGACGACGACGACGACGACGACGACGACACGGGGGCGGAGGGGAGGGCAGACGGGGAGGAGGGCCATTGGCCTCCCGCCAGAGCGCAGGAGCGAGGGGCAGGTATAGAGAGAGAGAGAGGAGAAGAAGAAGAAGAAGAAGAAGAAGAAGAAGAAGAAGAAGAGGACCGCGCGCGCGCGGGGAGGGTTCTGATCGGCGGGGGGGAGCTGCCTCGATGCGGGCGGCCACGGTGGGCGCGTGCCGCGACGACCTCGGCGTTGGTTCCCCGACACCGCGGGGAGTGTTCAGCCTTGAACGATCGGCCGTTCCGAAACGTCAGATCGTTGCACATCGAACGATTCTGGGTCGCCAGCAGCGTTCATGATGGGCCTGTTTTCCACCACCACCATCACCACCACCACCATAAGTTGGAGGTGGAGGGGCTCCTCCTCCACCTCCTCCTCCTCTTCGTCCTCCTCCTCCTCCTCGTCCTCCTCCTTCCCCCCTCCAACTTATGGTGATGGTGGTGGAAAACAGACCCATCAGTTCAACCTTGAACGCCAGCGGCGGGGTCGCCGCTGGTCGACACGGCGCGAACCTACCGTCAGAGTCACCGTTTTGGTGCGCTGCTTTTCGGGGGCCGCGGGGAGGCCAAACACAAGCGCGCAAGGCGCCACTGCCGCCTCGCGTTCGGCGATCGGGGGACCCCAAAGGGCCTCGGGGATCTTCTGACCCGGGTCAATCCAGACCCGGGTCAGCAGGAAACCTAAAAACTGCAAAGCAGGAAAAACAACTGCATCGCAAGTTCTTTTGCAAACCCGGGTCAGCCAATATGCGCGGCCGCCTCGCGGCCACGAGCGGCTCGCTCACCCGGGTCGGCCAGAGGGGGCCTTTGCAGGATCCGGTTGCCCCAGCTGGCCCCCGCTTGCACTGACCCCGTCTCCTGAGCCCCGAGGGCCCGTGCCAAAGGTCACTCCAGCGAAGGGTCAACATTTCATGGAGGATGACGATTAATAAATGACCGGGGGTCGTGTTCACGCGGCGGCGCCCGGGATGACGATTAGAAAAAACCGGCCGCGGGCTGAAAAACTATCTTTTTAAAATCGTTCTCCTCCAGTCAGAAAAATGTGCAGAAATCGCAGAAAACTATTGGTTTTAATCGGTCTCTTCCATTTGTTATTAATCGTCATCCCGCATTACGCGCGGCTGATTAATTCACCCGACGCGGCGCCCCGCCGGCCTCTTGAGGTCGCGGCGCGAGAAGTAGAAGAAGGCGTTGTCCCGCCCGCGGAGTTCCCGCAGCGCCCCGACCTCCACGGGAGGGGAGGAGGGACAGTGGAGGAGGAGGAGGAGGAGGAGGAGGAGGAGGAGGAGGAGGAGAAGAGGAGGAGAAGGAGGAGGAGGAGGAGGGGGAGGAGGAGGAGGAGGAGGAGGAGGAGGAGGAGGAGGAGGAGGAGGGGGAGAAGGAGTAGGAGGAGGAGGAGGAGGAGGAGGAGGAGGCGAGGAGGATTACCCAGGATTGCCACAAGCCGACGACGTCAGGAATGCTACCTCATCTGCCTCAGGGGGATTTCAATTGAGTGGCCGCCCTTCAAGAAAGACGCTGGAGGACCCACTGGCCCATCTGAGTGGGGGGGCTCACCCCTTTCGCACTTACATTCCTTACCCAGGTCACGAATATCGTCATTCCCCTATTTAGCCCCCACGCACATTCGTCTTCAAAGTTTGCAGCAGTTTCGCGGATGGAAGGCGGATCCTTTCCAAAAGGTGGCTCTCGCCTTCGCGTCGCGCACATTCGTCTTAAACAAGTGTAGAAGCTTTACGGGTGGAAGGCGGGTGGTTTCGGACGTGTGGCTCGCCTCAGCGCCCCGCGCAGATTCGTCTTGAGAATTTGCCAGGGCTTCCCGGATGGAGGGCGGATCCTTTTCAAAATGTGGCTCTCCCCGCAGCGCCGTACACACATTGGTTGGCGTCGCAGTAATGGTGTTCCAGCGCGGTTGAAGAGTACCAGGGCGCAACAGTCACGGTGATTCGCGGTGTTGACGGCCCAGGAATGGTGTTCAGGCACGATAAAGAATCGTCAGGACGCAACAGGAAAGCTTATTCGCGCTGTTGAAGTGCAGAGAGTGGTGTCTGGGCACGGTTGAGGATTCTGAAGCGGTTGTCTTACAACGGGGCACTTCCAGCAGCGAAGATCAAGTGTTACAGGGACCTATGAAGGAGGCAACTTGGAGACATGGTTTATTACAACATTGTCGCTGTTCCTTGGGTTTACACTGGTCCTCCTCCTCCCTGATCCTCCTCCTCCTCCTCCTCCTCATCATCATCATCACCACCATCACCATCACCATCACCATCACCATCACCGTCATCATCATCACCACCATCATCATGACAATCATCACCAGCATCACCATCACAGTCGTCATCATCATCTCCACAATCATCAGCATCATCAGTATCAGCATCATCATCACCACCAATTTCATCATCATAACCACCACAATCATAATCATCATCACCACCATCAGCATCACCATTACCATCACCATCATCATTATCAGCATCATCATCAGCATCATCATCACCAGCATCACCATCACCATCATTATCGTCGTCATCATCACCATCATCATCACCAGCATCAGCATCATCACCACCACCATCATCATCAGCATCATCATCATCCTCATCATCATCATCATCATCACCACCATCAGCATCATCAGCATCATCATCAGCAACATCATCCCTGACGCTGCTCATCCTGAACCTCCTCCTCCTCCTCCTCCTCCTTCTCCTCCTCGCAAATCCTCATCCCTCTTCCTCCTCCTCCTCATACTTCTCGTCCTCCTCTTCCTCCTCCCTCTCCTCCTCCTCCTCCTCCTCCTCCTCCTCCTCCTCCTCCCCCTCCTCCTCCCCGTCCTCCTCCTCCTCCTCCTCCTCCTCCTCCTCCTCCTCGTCCTCCTCCTCCTCCTCATCCTTCTAGGAACTGCTGTGGCACACATCGAACCGTGAGTTCCCACCACGCACCCCAGTCCGAGCACCATGGGTGGGAGAGTTAACATGCGAAGTGGTGGGCCTAGGCTGGCCTGCTGCATGCTCGTTTTTTCTCTGATGCCTTCTTGCATCCATGAAGAAGTCACGGTGGTGAAACACAGCCATGAAGGAGAAGGTGGCGAAATTTAGCCAGCTTCACTATACTGTGGCGTCCTAGGCCGATGCTTCCCTCTAGAGGAAGGCGCCCACCCAGGGCGGGGGGGAACCAGTGACCCAAGTCGCCTCGTCCTCGCACTTTCTCATTCGCCCCATTCTCAAAACTTCGGCGTCCAAATGTCTTCCTCTGCGAGTTTCGGCACAGTGCTTAGCCACCCCTTCCGAGAAATGTATCGGAGGATGGGGTCAGCCTGGGGCCGCAGCAGGGACACAGGCTTCTGTGGGCCAGCAGGGCTCCCGCGGGCGCCCCATTTCCTCGCCTTGAGCTGCACCAGCAGCAGCATCTGTGGCGCCTAGAGTGCGTTTTCCGCGAGTGACACTCGAACCGCCTGCCAGGTCGCTCGCTCGCTCGCTCCTCCACCTCCTCCTCATCCAACTCATCCCTCTTCAGCCTCCTCCTCCTCCTCCTCCTCCATTCTCCTCCTCCTCCTCCTCCTCCTCCTCCACCTCCTCCTCCTCCTTCCTCCTCTCCCCTCCTCCCTCCCCCTCCTCCCTCCTCCCTCCTCCTCCCTCCCTCCTCCCTCCTCCCTCCTTCCTCCGTCCTCCTCCCTCCTCCCTCCTCCCTCCTCCCTCCTCCCTCCTCGCCCTCCTCCCTCCTCTCCTTTCCTCCTTCCCCACCCTCCCCCACACTCCCTCCTCCCTCCTCCCTCCTCGCTCCTCCTCGCTCTCCCCCTCCTCCATTCTCCTCCTCCTCCTCCACCTTCCTCCTCCCGCCTCCCATCCTCCGCTCCTCCCTCCTCCCTCCCCCCCTCCTCCCTCCTTCCTCCTTCCTCCTCCCATCCTCCTCCGCCTCCCTCCTCACTCCCCCCCACCTCGCTCTCCCTCCTCGTTTCCACTCCTCCTCCTCTCTCCTCCTCCTCCTCCTCCTCCTCCTCCTCCTCTCCTCCTCCTCCTCCTCCTCCTCCTCCTCCGTCCTTCCTCCTCCTCCTCCTCCTCCCTCCTCCTCTTCCTCCTCCTCCTCTTCTTCCTCCCCCTCCTCTTCCTTCTCATCCCTCCCGGGTCGGATCGACTGCGCCAGGATGCACAACGGCGCCGCGTGCAAGCATCGAGCCGCACTGGGCCGCCGCAAAATCGGAAACGAAAGACCAGGCTGGCCGAAACCAGTGTCGAAAAGCGGCCCGAACTCCAGATCCGATCCGCCCCACTGAGGGCCACGTCGTCGTGAGGGCGGACAAATCCACCCGATTTTTCAAGCTCCTCTGGAACCAATTTCCGCCCTTCTTGTCCGTCGCTGTTTCCGCCATGCGTTTGTTGGTTTCCGCTTTACGTTGTGGCATATTTGCGGATATGTCCAAAGAGATGTGGAATGCTTAGCAAGAGCAAGCGGGGCATTTCGCCTCACTCTGCTGAGGCGAACATACTCTCCCTACCCTGTCGCATCCTTTGGGGTGCATTTCGGGCACGCTTGTGAGTCGAAGAATCAGCGACAGTACAGTCAACCCGCACAGTAAGTTTGAGCGTCTTTCCAAGGCTACCTTTGCATCCTTGTCCCTTCCGCCCATCCATGATCACTTTTGCTGGCCAGCCTAATTTAAACAATGTTCACATGACCCTCCAAGGCCCTTGCATCCTTACCGCGTATCCTTACAGTCGGACCTAGGCCAGAAAAACATCCTTCAAAAACACGAGACCCTCCGTCGGCCAGACACACAGAACATCCAAGGGTGCTCTCCGCAGGACGCGCAAAAACACCCAGCAAGCACGAAGAACATCAGGGCACCCTCCCCGCACCGACCTCGATCTTATACATCGGTCCGGCTGTATAAGACGGGCTGACTGTACAACGGATCTGGAATTAGGGTTAAGTCGGGCCTGTCCCCCTACAGGTGGATTTTCGACGAAAAATTAAAAATACCCCCAAAATAATAAAAAAATAGTCCAAACATAATCTGGGGACTATTTTGGGGGTATTTTTTTGCCTTTTTGGGGTATGTTGGGGGTACTTTTAATTTTTCGTCGAAAATCCATGTCCGCCGGGCGCCGGGCCCTGCCCCGGACCTCCCTCACGGCGTACTTGTCCTCCGTGGGGTACGCGCGGGTGACGGTGCCCGTACGCCGCTCGCCGAAGCCCACGACGTCCCCCTTCTGCAGCGCCGGCTCGCCGAGCGGCCCGGCGTCCATGCCCGCCGCGCGGCCGCCGCGCGCGCAGCCGCCGCGCGCGCAGCCGCCGCGCGCGCAGCCGCCGCACAGCCGCCGCGCGCAGCAGCGCAGCCGCCGCGCAGCGCCGCCTCCGCGGGCCTCTCAGGCGCGCGGGCCGCCGTGTGCCGCCATGTCGCGGGGGGGGGCCGCCGCGCGGCGCGGCCGCCGGGGCCCCGCGCGCGGTCTCGGCCTGGCGGGCGGGGCTGGCAGATCTGGCCGGCGGCGGCAAGGGCGGGGCCGACGGAGGCGACGGCGATGGAGGCCTCGGGCTCGGGATTCGGGCTCGGGCTTGGGGCCTGGGGCTGGGGGCTGGGGCACGGGTCCAGCTCGGGCTTGGGCTCGGGCTCGGGCTCCGCCGACGGCGGCGGCGACGGCGGCGAGGACGAGGCGGACGGGGCTCTCAGCGCAGTCGCGGAGGAGGACGGGTACGAATGAGCCAAAACAAGCGTGAGAAAGAGCAGCAGGATCGGCATTGAGCAGGAGCGGGATGATAGCCATCGTGCCACAAGAAGGCACGTCGCATAAGGCACGCATTGGCCGCGTGCGGCAATGTTTACCCCCCTCCTTCTCCGATTCCCTCCTCCTCCTCCTCCTCCTAACCCTCCTCCTACTCCTCCTCCTCCTTCTCCGCCTCCTCCTCCTCCTCCTCCTGCTCCTCCTCCTCCTCCTCCGCCTCCTCCTGCCTCTCCTCCTCCTCGTCCTCCTACTCCTCCTCCTTCTCCTCCTCCTCCTCCTCCTTCTCCTCCTCCTCCTCCTCCTCCCCCTCCTCCTCCTCCTCCTCCTGTCCTCCTCTCCTCCTCCTCATTCCTCCTCGTCCTCCTCGTCCTCCTCCTCCTCCTCCTCCTCCTCCTCCTCCTCCTCCTCCTCCTCCTCCGCCGCTCCAGACCATCTGGCGGCCCGAAAAACTGCGCGCTTCGAGCGGCGTGTCGGCAGAGGCGCTGCTCGGGAGGATGTCCGGCGAGGCCGCTCCGTGAAAACAATGTCTTCTTCGTCGCGCCTGCGGACTGGCCCATGAGGGAGGAGGGGGAGGAGGAGGAGGAGGAGGAGGAGGAGGAGGAGGAGGAGGAGGAGGAGGAGGAGGAGTAGAGGAGGAGAGGAGAAGAGAGGAGGAGGAAGAGGGGGGGGAGAGGGAGGAGGAGGAGGAGCGGGGAGAGGAGGAGGAGGAGGAGGAGGAGGAGGAGGAGGGAGGAGGAGGAGGAGAAGGAGGAGGAGGAGGAGGAGGGGGGGGGAGAAGGAGGAGGAGGAGGAGGAGGCCGGCGACAACGCGGCTAAGTCCGTCTGGGCTGGGGAAGCCTCGGGCATCCTCCTTCGGCTGGGCGCTAGTGGCATCGTGTGCGCCGCTGGGGTTGAGGCCTGCACGTTCCGCAGGCGAGGTCTGCGATGACGGCCTCCTGCTGCGACGGCTCGTGGAACTGGCGCTACAGTGGGCCCGTATCACAAGGATGCGCGATAAGGATGCAAGGGCCTTGGACGCCCACGTCGGAGCTTCTCGAGCGGGGCGCGGCCAACGGAAGTGGCGAAGGATGGACCCAGGAGGCAAGGATGCAAGGGTACCCTTGGGAAGTTTGCCCATCCTTCCTATGCAGGTTGACTGTACTCGAACTGCTCGGGTCCCTGCGCCGGCGGCGCCTCCGAATGCGGCTGCGGCGCCTCTCCACGGGAAGGCATGCGTGGGCCCCTGTGTCAGCGGCCCTGGGGCGTCTGCAGCGAATATCTTTCTCGAGCCTTCGACCCAGGCTACGAGCTGCAATTCCGGACCTTCATTTCCCTCTCTCCGTGCGAGCCCTGGGACCGCACACCATGCCTAAGCCTGCACAACAGAGACAGGGAAGCCATGGGGGGGGGGGGGGCAAGAACAATCCGACCCCCCGAACTGTGCAATATCGGGTCCACCCGCATCTTGTAGCCCTCTCGCACCTTCAGAATTTAGCCCGATCGCAAGCATAAGTCGGAATAAGTGTGAGAATGGCTTCCCCCAGCCCTGCTCAGAATCAGTGCTCCGGCCGTGGCAGCTCGCTGGCACAGGCTAGGCCCCGAAAGAGGGGAGGGAGGAAGGGGGGGGAAGAGGAGGAGGAAGAGGAGGAGGGGAGGAGAGGAGGAGGAGGAGGAGGAGGAGGAGGGAGGCGAGGCAGGAGGAGGAGGAGGAGGAGCAGGAGGAGGAGGAGGAGGAGGGAGGAGGGAGAGGAGGAGGAGGAGGAGGAGGAGGAGGAGAAGGAGGAGGAGGAGGATGAGGAGGAGGAGGAAGAAGCACAGGCTGTGACGGCGGAGGGCCGGCAGCGGGGCAGGGGCAGCGCGGGCGAATCCCCAAGAGAGAGAGAGAGAGAGAGAGAGCCTCAACAGGAGAGAGGGGCTCTTCGCCCTCCTCCTCCTCCTCCTCCTCCTCCTCCTCCTCCTCCTCCTCATCCTCCTGCTCCTCCTCGTTCGTCCTCGTCCTCGTCCTCGCCCCCTACTCCTCCTCCTCCGAGGACGGGGGGAGGGCGGGGAGGAGGGAGGCAGGCCCTCCACCGCTCTTGCCCACAGAGCTGCCTCGAGGGCGGGGGGAGGGAAGGATCCCGAGGGGGGGCGGGAGGGCGGGGGGAGGGAGCAGGCCCTCCACCACTCTTGCCAGAGGCGGAACGTGCAGAGGGGCGGGGGATCGGGGAGAGGAGCGGGGGAGGAAGGTCGAGGGGGTGGGGGTGAGATTCGATCTCTTTACAACCAGAACAACCACTTTACAACCAGATGGGTTACTTTACAACCAGCATAGGATTGGAGAGTATGATTTTTCATCGAGAACGTCCACTTTGCAACCAGAACGGCCCACTTTACAACCAGAACGGACCACTTTACAACCAGAACGGGCCACTTTACAACCAGAACGGACCACTTTACAACCAGCTCAGAGTGGCCGTGCGTGTTTGGGCGTTCCGCAAAGTGCTCCAGAGCAAGTGGGCGCTCTGAAAAATGCCCCAGAGCAAGTGGGCGCTCTGAAAAATGCCCAGAGCAAGTGGGCGCTCTGAAAAATGCCCCAGCAAGTGGGCCCTTGAGCCCGAGCGCCTGAACTCTCTGCGCAGGCCCCAGCGATGCCTCTGAGCCCGAGCGCCTGAACGCCCTGCGCAGGCCCCAGCGATGCCTCTGAGCCCGAGGACCTGGACGCTCTGCGCAGGCCCCAGCGATGCCTCTGAGCCCGAGGACCTGGACGCTCTGCGCAGGCCCCAGCGATGCCTCTGAGCCCGAGCGCCTGGACGCTCTGAGCAGGCCCCAGCGATGCCTCTGAGCCCGAGCGCCTGGACGCTCTGGCGCTCTGAGCCCAGCAGACTAAGACAGGGCTTGCTAGCAGGGGCCAAGCGGCCTCAACAAGGGCCCCGTGCTCGCACGGGAATAAGGCGACAGCATACGTAGGAAGGCTCAGGGCGACGCGCTGCCCATTTTAGGGATCACTCACAGGAAGCGAGCCCAGTGGCCTCCACAAGGGCCCAGCGCCCCAGGGAACTAGGCCATTGGCACCGCGGGTCTCTTGGGCCACGTTGGCCCCTGAAGCCCCACGGTGTTCTGCAAGGGGCTAAGTGCTCCAGCTCCAGTTGGCCCCCTGCTGCTCCTCTTCTTGGAATATCGAGGTTCAACGTTCCGAATACATGCAACTATTTCGAAGATCGTTCCTTCCAGCGTCAGCCACAGTGCCAGCGCAGCAACGCAGGTATCCTGCTCGGGCAGCAGCCTCAGCCACCGTGCCAGCGCAGCAGCTTGAGCCGCCGTGACAGCGCATCACCGCCACCTTTGTGCCTGCTACCACCACACTTACCGCTGCAGCCCCGCTACCTCCACAATTCCGACTGACCCCCCGCTACCACCGCAAATCCCATTGCAGCCCAGATACCACCACAGTTCCCACCGCTGCCTGGCGACCACCACAGTTGCCACCGCAGCTCCCCAAC